TATCTATCTATCTATCTATCTATCTATCTATCTATCTATCTATCTATCTATCTATCTACCTATCTGATCTCCTCTCTCTGTGTGTCCATACCCATCTATGTCCTTATCTCCACATCCCTATTTCCACTTGTCTCCATGTCCTTGTTTCTGTCTCTGGGTCCTTGTCTCTCTGTCCATGTTCTCATCTCTATGTTCCTAACCTGCATCTCTGTGTCCTTATCCCCATGTTAATGTAACCATCTTTTCAGCCTTGTACCCATTTATATGTCCTCCTTGTGTATAGGGTCCTAGCTCTGTGTTTCTGTCCCCTATCCCCATCCCCATTTCTGTGTCTTTGTCTTTCCTTCTTGTCCACACCACCCTCTCCCCCCACCCCCGCCCTTATCTTCATGTCCATGTCTCTATCTCTCTAGTCATGTCTGTATCTCCATGACTCTATTGCCATTTTGGTGTCTATGTCCCTCTATACATCTATGTCCTGGTCCTGTCTCTATCTCTGTGTTCATGTCCTTGACTCCATATCTATATTCCTCCTTTTTTTTTCATCCCATAGTCCATGGTTCTTATCTCTGCCTTCATGTCCCTGTCTCTGTGTCCATGCCTCTATCCTGATGTCCCTACCCATCCCTGCCTCTGTTTCTCTTCTCTGTGTACATTTGCCTATGCCTCGGGCTCTCTATTTGAAGGAAATTCTTGGGGCCTATAGAGGGCAGCAGTCTTAAGTAGTTGATATTGCCAGTGGCTAAAGGGGTTGGATGCCTGAGGGCTAGGGGGAGGGGATGTGCCTGCAGTTGTACGTGTGGGGGAGAAAGTGAATTTAGACTGACCAGATCTGCATATTCCAATCCCAAGAGACTTTATTCTGGGGATTTAGACCTGAATTTAGAGATCCCTCAATCCAACCCTCTCAATTTACAGATAAAGAAACTGAAGCCTGGAGAGGGAAAATGAATTGCCCAAGGTCACACAGGTGTGAGTAGCCCAGCTGGACGTTAAACCCATATCCACATTATGTCATAATGGACTTTCTGTTTCCTGGACTCAAATGCCAGGCTTCCCAGCTGACCAGGAGAAAACCCCTCCCCCCGAGGAAAGTGGACATTGAGAAAAAGGAGCCTTTGAGTGTGTGTGAGATGTAGGTGGACAGGCTTAATGTGTTTGCTATTTCAGGGTCTTCCTAAATTCCATTAATCCAATAGGTTGCAACTTTTCCTCTCCTTTCTCCAATTTCCTTGGACTTTTCCCAACTCATGCACCTTAAACTTCTCACCTTCATTGTTCCTTAAAAGTCAAAGATCTGTAATTTCGTAGAAATGGGAAATGCTTTTACCAGTGCAGATTGTAAACTGTCTATAATCTGGGAGAGAAAAAATCAAGTAGGTCTTAGAGAATTGCTTGAGACTCAGAACAGTTAAGCAATTTGCCCACAGCTACACAGCTAGCAAATGTCAGAGGTGGGGGACAGAAACTCCAGTCTTCCAGATTATAAGTCTAGCATTTTGCTATGCCACATCACCCGACAGGACGAGTTGACAAAATTTTTTAACAGAGGGAAAATGACTGACTACTGATATGGGAGTCATTTGAGAGCCAACTCTCTGTGAAGTCAGCTCATGGATTAATTGGAGCAAAAATCAGAATCAATATGAATTAGAATAAAGGATAAAAATGAAAAGATACATTTAATTATAGTAGCCTTAATGGCCCCAATTTAAGCAAACGATTGACTCCCTGAAATAGAAAATAGCAATAAGTAAAGACACTGACTATCACCATTTCTTACAGAAATTTAACTGGTACCCAACAGCCACCACCGGGAGAAAGCCAGAGGAAGCATAAAACTGCCTCCAACAAGAAATGCTTGATCTACTTGGCAAGCCCAGAGGCATGGTAGCCAGGAGCAGAAGAGACTTAAGAGTATCAACTTCTTAAAAAAACATTGTAGAGGAGAATGTGAGAAGATTAAGTGCAATAATTTCTCACCAGACAACAAAAACCATTGGAGGGGAGAATTAACTTGTGAAGAGTTGGTGGGAGACCCAATTAAGTGGGATTATTCCAGGAGCTTTTGTAGACATAATTAGAAGGAGAACAACCAATACACTTAAAATAAAACAGATCTGTAGGCATTTTGAGGGTAGTTCAGTGTCATTACCAACACTTATAGAAATGCTACATTTGGACTCCACCACCTTAGTTCCTGATGCATTGACTCAGGAAGTAGCAATGACACTTGAGATTCATAGCATCGTGAAAAGGGAACTGACTTTGGAGTTAGGATCATGGGTTTGAATCCTGACTCTGCTTTTTAATACCCATATGACCTTGGGCAAGTCACCTCACCTTCTCTGGATCCCAATTTTCCCATTTGTAAAATGAGAAGCCTGGACTAGATGACTTTTAAGGTCTTTTTCCAGCTGTTAAGCCTATGTTCCTAGTATGAAATTAGTCCTTTCTATTCATCTCTTCAGATGACCATGTGAGTTCCTGATCCAAGTTCAAATGAGGAAGAGGGTGGAATATTCTTGCAATTAATCCAATCCTTAATTGCAACATTGCAATTGGTGGGCAGGGACATCACTTGATAGAATGAAAGAACTATGGCCCATAGAAAAAGTAGGGAATATGAATACCCTTCAACCAACAATATCCCCCAAAAAGGTTGGAAAGGGGAACATTGACAGTAGCCCAATTTCTTTGCAATTGACAATAGGAAAACCCTGATCAGAAAACAAGTGCCCAGTGGAAAGGCAACAGCTTTGGGTTTATTCATTTATTTCTTATACAGTTATGGCCATCAGAGCCACTTGAAAAAATGGAAAGGCCAAGAGGGTTGGGTATGTGTCAAATGGAGAAGTCTTCTATAGAATCCCCTAGAGATTATGGGAGAGTGGTCTACTACGTGATAAAGCTGGTGTCACTTTCTCATGAGTGCTCATGAGTACCTACCAGAAGCAATCAGGAGTTCTTAACCTCGAGTCAGTGAACTTATTTAAAAAAATATATTTTGAAAATTGCATCTCAATATAATTGGTTTTCTTCATAATCCTATGTATCTTATTTTATTTATTTAAAAACATGATTCTGAGAAGGCGTCCATGGGTTTCCACAGACTAACAAAGGGGTCCATGAGAGAAAAATGGGTATGAATCCCTGTTCTAGCAAGGAGTTCTCTTTGCTAGCACCAGAGACTTTTCTGATGCAGGTGATATTATCACCATTTTCACACAAATTTCTCAGCTTGAAAAAGGAGAACTCTGTGATTCCAGTTAATAGGCTCATGTAGGACTCTGCAAAGCTGGCCACTCCTACCTCAACCTTGCAAATTGAGTCTTAGCCTAGAGTCTCTCATAGGTTCCTGCACCCTTCTGTGCACCTAACATCTCTATGTGGAGGAACTTAATCTACTTCTTTCCATGTTGTCCCTCCTTGTTCTCATTTCTTTCCCCACTCTCTCCATCTCCTTACCTTTGCCGCCCTCCTCTCGCCCCTTGCTCTTTTCTCCCCAGAGCTGGGTCTCCCTTTGTGCTTTCCCTCCAGAGTCTCCACAGGCCTGAGCACTGGTTCTAAGGATGAGTAGCCATGCCAATAGCCTTTTCCTGAGGGAAAGTGTTTCCCAACGCCTTGGGAGGCAGAGTTGGCTGCAGGGGTTTCAGGACTCCATGCAACAGCGTGCAGCCCGAACCCGGCTGCAAATCCAAACTATGAACCGGGAGAGAGTGTTCCGGTTCCTGCGGAGAAATGCCTTCATCCTTCTCACAGTCAGTGCTGTGGTTATAGGTAAGCACGGGGTAGCGCGCTGGTAGAGACACTTCTGTCAGGGGAGTGGGTGTATATTGGATGCACGGCCCTTTAGAGCAAAATCTGTGTTGATGGGGTTTGGGAAGCAGTTCAGGCTGAGCCATGGTTGTGAACTCTAGAACACAGACCATCTTTGTGCTCTCATTATATCCATATGAGTTTTTTTTTCCTTTTTTTTTTTGGCTAGACAATGGGATTAAGTGACTTGCTCAGGGTCACACAGCTAGTAAGTGTTATGTGTCTGAGGCCAGATTTGAACTCAGGTCCTCCTGAATCCAGAGCCAATGCTCTATCCACTGCACCACCTAGCTGCCCCTCCATATGTGTTTCTGAAGAGGTCTTGTCTAGGGCTGTGTTGTTGAAAGACTGCAGCTTGGTTTGTTTCTTTTAAGCAGAGCCCCCTACAGATGCCCCTTGGCTTCTTATCTAGGAGACCTACAGTCCCTCACCACTTTCTTCTTGGCCCCTAGGGATCAGCCTTGCCTTTGCCCTGCGCCCTTATCAGCTGACCTATCGTCAGATTAAATATTTCTCTTTTCCTGGAGAGCTGCTGATGAGGATGTTGCAAATGTTGGTGTTGCCCCTTATTGTCTCCAGCCTAATCACAGGTAAGGAGGCCCTAGACCCACCTCCAGAGTTATTATTCTCTTCCCAGCACCCCAAACCTGGGGATATTGTCTTTGCCCATGACTGCATGTATATACCCCCACTACCTTGACCCAGATCCTTGAGTCCAGAGTCACTGATGACTTAGAGTGAGACCATAACCCAACTTAAAGCCATTATTCTGTCTGGGGACTCAAGCTTTCCTGTTCAAATCTGGACCCATACCAACTACTCAGAACAACTGGCCCTGACTCTTCCATGGAAGTGTCCAACCCCAGTTCCCTTTGACTCTAAGGAGTCATCTCCTTCTATTCTTTGTTTCTTCCCACATCTTCTCACTAGTGAGGTTGTGAGAGCGCGTATGGGACAGATTTTTTTTTTGGAAGGGGGTAATGAAAGAATGCTGGACTTTGGGGATGCAGCCATGTTATGAGGACAAGAAGTCAAAATAGAGTCAGGGGAATGTTGGTGGGGAAAATAAGGGGAGTCAAAAGGTAGCTTTCAGATGGGGGTGGTAGGTGATAGCCTGTATGGGTGATCTTTGTGGTCCTATAAGATTGGGATGGGAATATGAATGGCCAAAGAATATATACACATGATTCCCATATGATTTTGGAGGACAGCACTGAAGAATACCATTCTAGGACTCCTCCTTATTAGGGGTTAACTCTGAGCTCCAGAAAGTTTAGCTCTTAGGCTCCCTGTGATGAAGATAACTCTGTGCTCCTAAAGTGATGTGGTCAATGACCATATGGTGAGTTGTTCTTCCGTAAGGCCATCCATGAAGTGGCCCCCAGGACTGCCCATTATGTCGAGGGCAGAGGGAAAGTTGGAGCAAGGCAAATTCTGTTTCTTGTGCCAGGAGAAAATACCTACTTCTTAAATCCAGGAGTACCAAGGCATGCTTCGGGCAACAGAAAAGCTGGGAAGTCTAGGGATAAGAGGGGATGATAATGGTGATGGAGAAGTGGAAGGCTGTGCAATAATGAGAGGGATAGGTAAAGGTGGGAGAACCAGTGGGAAAGGGATAGAGCTAGAGGGCAGGCCAACAGGTCAGGTGAGGATTGGTTAGGAATGAGGAGAGCCAATGAAGCAGTGATGGAGTGGGGTTTGAGGAGTCCAGTGGCATTTGGATAGGGGTAGGAATAAAGTTGTTGGGATACGGAGGAGGGATAGGTGAGGGGAAGGGAGTCAATGAAAGAATGGTATCAATGGTGGGTAGACTAGGGGGAAGTAAGGTAGGTGACACATAGAGGAACTGATCTGTTGGAGAGGGTGGAGCAGAGGGCTGAACTGTGTGGCTTCTCCCAGGTATGGCATCTCTGGACAACAAGGCTTCAGGGAGGATGGGGATGCGGGCTGCTGTTTACTACATGGTGACAACAGTCATTGCAGTCTTCATTGGCATCCTCATGGTCACTATCATCCACCCCGGGAAAGGATCCAAGGAAGGGCTGCACCGAGAGGGTCGCATTGAATCTATCCCTACAGCTGATGCCTTCATGGACCTCGTCAGGTTAGTGTTCTTTATTCCCGTCAGATCCAGAAACAGTGCCAGTTGACTTCAACACCTTGGGGCACTGGTCTCCATGCTGTCCCTAGGGTCTCCTTATTTCATGAGGTAGTCATTCCTTTGAGCCTACTGTAAATGTCTTGAGGACAGTTACTGAGTCTTGTCTCTTAGCTGTTGTTGTTTGTCCTTCACTCTCAAAGACCACCAGGAAGGTGATGCCATGATATGCAAGGGAATTGGATTTAAGTGAGGGAGGGCTGTGCAAAGTCACCAGCCTCACTTCCTTCTCTTTCCATCTTTGTCCAGTGGCAAGATATAAATCAGGATGACTGGAGACTGTTCCCTGGCCCCCGTGTTTCTCAGCATCAAGCATAGGGCCAAACACATGAAAGTGTTCCATAAATACTTTCTGCTTAATTGATAGCTCAATTCTACTCTCTTTGTGACTCTGAGCAAGTGACTTCACCTCTCTGAGTCTCAATTTCCTCATTTCTAAGGTAGGATAATAACAGATTCACTATATACACACCTTGCTGGAAGACCAATTTGCTTTTGGACGTCTCTAATCATTAATGTTCCCTCATAATGAGCTGAAATCTGCCTCTCTTCAACTTGTTCTTAATTCTACCTCTGAGATAAGAGCAAGTCCAATCCTATATCCACATGGCAGTTTTTCAGATATGTAAAGAAAGCTATCATGTCCAGCCCCTCCCCCCCTGTCCCCCCATACCTCAAGGTAAGAGACTATGGGGTGGAGCATATGACTAGAATGTAGCTGTGGAATGGTATGCCTAATTTATGAAGAATAGAATAAAGAAAAAGAAAGGCTTACTAGTCCAACAACTCACTTTTTTTTTTTTTTTACAGGGGGGAAATGTGATGTGATTTTCTCAGTGTCGCATAAGTAGTTAATGGCAATCTCAGGCCTAGAACTCAAATCTCACAAGTTTTCTGTAGAAAGTATGTTAATGGATCTGGGATCTGGTCGGTGTGGGTACTGTTTCCATCACTGTAGATCATAACTCATCCATACCTTCTCATCTAGTGTGATTCTTGTCCTTATTTTCCCATAAATCTACCACAGGTCCACCTGCCATGCTGGGGGGGCTCCCTCTAGGTTGCTTGACATTGTGTGTTTATCAATCAAGCTTGTTGACCGTCCATCATATATCCCTTCCTCTGGGTCCAGGAGACTGTGAGCTCCTTGAGAGCATGACTATTTTATTTTTTGTCTTTCTTTGTATCCCCAGCACTTAGCACACTGCCTGGCACATGGTAAACATTTCATAAATGCTTACTGACTGGATGGTTGGCTGGCATGACTATCATACCTTCTTATGACATTCTTTACAATGCACTTTCTGTAAAATTCCTCATGGGTAATAAATTGTATCCAAATTTTGACTACCATGTACTGAAAAAAATGCCACATGGGTGACTTGAATCTTTAATTCTTTGTATACTATAGTGTTCAATGAATCAAAGCTATGTGACATCACTGGAAGACTTTTTTTTTAATGGGCTTTGTTTCCTGAAGAAGTATATAGTCATTGAAAGCATTACACAACTTCCCAAAAAAATCCACTTAGTTTTCTCCCTTTTGTTCTATACTATGCTTTGCTCATTGTCCATTTATGGTGACTGTCCAAGGTCTATGTTCTGATAGACCAGCTCTGTGGATTGTGTATCCAATTGCATATCATACTCTGGACAGCAGTCATTCTTCATCCACTTGGTTTTTCCTGTGTGAATAGTTAGGGCAGTGGTATCACAAGCACTCTTAGCTTTTAGAGTTGGAAGGAATCTGAAAGATTATCTAATGTAATCCTCTCATTTTACATATGAGGAAACTGGGGCCCAGAGCATTGGAATTACTTAGCCCAAGCTTACACAGGTAGTAAGTAGCAGAACCAGGATTTGAACCCATATTTTCTGACTCTAAAAGCAGATCCTGTCCTCAAGGAACTTATAAGTGAGTCTCTGATGACTCAGTTAAATGACTTACCCATGGTCTCACAGCTAGTGAGTGATGGAGCTTGAACTTTAAATCCAGGTATTTTGACTATTTTATTTTGTTTTTAAAATGTTTTATTGATGCTTAAAAACTATTTCTATCATGTACCAATACCCTCCTCCCCCCATCCTATAGAACCCTCCCTCAGAACAAAGAAGTCTTCTGAGTAATCCAGTACCCTATTGACTATATTCTTGGAAGTAATATAGAGGCAGATATACATTGAGATGAAAGTGAGAGCAGCTTGCAAAGGATTACTGTGTTGTAAAGAAAGGAGAGATGGTAGAAGAATGGACTGGGAAGATCCTGTCAAGGAAAACCTGCTGGAGGGAATTGGAGAATAGATGAGCTGCTTAAATAGCCAGGTTGCTGCTATTCAGCGGCCATTGTGTGGCTGAAGACTGTGACCTTCACAGGTCAGACAGAGCTGCAGGTAGCAATTTTGGCATTGGGACAAGCATCATGAAATGCCCTCAAATCAGCTTTTAAAGACAAATTCAGCTGAAGGGGAAAAGAGAGAGATGCAGTGACACCATCTAGTGGGGATGGGGAGCAGGGATGGGCCAGTCCATGAAGGAGCTCACCGAGGTTGCCATGTTTCTTTTACAGTAGCTTCCTATGCAATTATTCTTGCTAACTAGGTGCTAAACACAGCTGTTTCTACACTGCTGATGAAATGCAGACAATATCAGCCTCCTCTAAATTTTGGTGCCTTGGGATAAAGCCCCACTCACCTCAGTCTTGTAATAGCTGTGAGGTCAGGGCTGCTTAGTTCTTGGCTTTCCTATAGCATTATCCACAGCTCAAGGAATGTAGACAATGGAGGTGACTTAAGATTAGTTGTTAGTATATGTGGTCAGGGAAGTGAGTGTGTGTGTGGATGGTAGGTGGAGGCATATGAATCTAGGTGCTCCTGGTAGTGAGATAAATACTGAAATAACTGACTAGTGATGCCAACATGGTCTTCATGAGGTCAAGGAGAATTAGTACCTAGATGATGTCATTGGATTTGGTATTAAGAATGCCACTAGTAACCTTGGAGAAAATAGCTTCAGTAGAGTAGAGGACTGAAGCTAAAGTACAGAGTTTTAAGAAGAGAGGTGGAGAAGGAAAGACAGTGGGTTAGGCTTCAGATTTAGAGAGGATAACAGTACAAAGAAGGAGAGAGATTTTATGTTGACCCACAAAGGAGCAATATAGAAGGAAAGTTTATTTTGGGTTTCCATTTCTGCCCCTCACCCCACCCTCATACAGCACATGGGAGGACTGAGTGGTTTTGAAAACAGAAGAAAAGGAGATCGTTTTTGAAGGAGAAATGGAGGCTGCTATTGAGAGAAGGGATAAGTATTCAGAGCAGTGTCTTTTGATTATGAGGGCCAAGGTAGGTGAGTGGTTGTCATGGGGTAAAGAGGTAACTTGGTGCAATCTATGATCTTGAGGAATCATGTAGTTGAGATCTCTGATGAGGCATCAAGTGTCCATGGAGCAACTGAGGATAAGTACAGGAGATGCGGAGGAGGAGAAAGAGACAGAATTTACCAAAGAATTGGTAAATAAGTTATTGGTGGGGAAAGATCACGTTTTACTTGTTTCTGGTCTCTCTTCATCCTGACTAGTTCAACTGGAGGCAGCAAGGCATGGTGAAAAGAGCACTAGACTTGGAATAAGAAGCCTTGGGTTAGAAGTTTTGTTCTACCAGCTAGGTGATTTGGGGTTAGTCATTTCCTCTGTCTAAGCAACAGTTTTCTCACCTCTTACTTTCTGAAATGATGGGGTTGGATTGGGTGATAAAGTCTCCTCCAGCTAGAATGTTCTGTGTTTTAGGGCACTTTCAGCCATGTAATCTGCTTTCTCAGTTCCTTCCAGTTATGCTTTTTATTGTTCTTTGTGGCAAGGTCCTGTCCACCTCTAAGGTTCTATGTTTTGTGGTCACACTACTCCTTATGTTTTAGTCTTACTGTCTTCCCACCCTTGGTTCTTTGCAGAAATATGTTCCCACCCAATCTCGTGGAAGCCTGCTTCAAACAGGTGAGAGAGGAGGGCCAACGTTTTGTTCATGAGGATAAGGGGTGGGTGGAAGGATGGTGGTCAGGGGGCCCAGGAATGGGAGGGAAGGAGAGAGGTCCTTCTAAGGGTTGGACAGTGGGCCTTAGGAAGGGCCTGTGTAGGTGAATATGCCCCTCTGTTAACCAAATGTTCAAGCTAAGATCTAGAGAGGGTCTCATGTGCCACGACCTCCCAGAGGTAACATAAAGACTGAAGCTTTGGGTTGAGGGAATATTGAAACTTCACAGAAGCTCCAAGTTAGAAGAGACTGCAGAAGATATTTGGTTCAACTTGTTCTTGGTGGATGGGTCTTTATCTTTCTGATTTCAGTTTAAGACGCAGTACAGCACCAGGGTGGTGACCAGGACTGTCATGAAGATGGAAAACAGGACTGAACTGGGTATCTCCCCTTCACCTTTTTCTCTAATGGACAACGGCACTAGTGTCCTGGACAATGTTACTCGCGCCCTTGGCACCCTACAGGAGGTACTGAGTTTTGAGGAGACTGTACCCGTACCTGGCTCAGCTAGTGGCATCAATGCCCTGGGCTTGGTGGTATTCTCGGTCAGTTTTGGCCTGGTCACTGGCAGCATGAAACAAAAGGGCCATGCCCTGAAGGTATTCTTCAACAGCCTCAATGAAGCCATTATGAGACTTGTTGGTGTCATTATCTGGTGAGTGAAGCAGGGTAGATCTATGCTTAGAGTTTGAGATGGAAGGGGTTAGAGCTCAGAGCTGGATGGGAGAGACTGAAGATGCTAAAAGGTTGTTGTTGACAATCAGTCAATCAATGCACATTTATTAAGTGCTTTCTATGTGCCAGGCACTGTGCTAAAGCTGGGGATACAAACAGAGGAAAAAGACACTGCCCTCAAGGAGCTTACAGTGTAATGGGGGAGATAACCTGCAAACAAATACATACAAAGCAAATTATATACAAGATAAATAGGAAATAATTAACAGAGGGAAGGCACTTGAACTAAAAGGAGTTGGGAAAGATTTCCTATAGAAAGTGGGATTTTAGTTGAGACTTAAAGGAAGCCAGCGATGTTGGTAGGTGGAGGTGAGTAGGGAGAGCATTCCAGGCACGAAGGACAGCCAAAGAAAATGCCTGGAAATGAGAGATGGAGTGTCTTGTTCATGGAACAGCCAGGAGGCCAGTGTCACTGGAATGAAGGGTATATGTTGGGGAGTAAGGTGTAAGAAGCCTGGAAAGGTAGGAAGGGGGTTAGGTTATGAAGGGCTTTGAACTTCAAACAGACTAAGAGACCAGCCAGAGAGGATAGAGTCATGAGTTAATAGGGTGGGGGTGGAGGTAGGGAGACAACTAGGCAGGAGGGACTTAAATTGGCATGTAGGGAAGCTAGTTATGGAGAAGAAACATAAGCTGGAGATGTGTTGGAAGAAGAGAGTCATAGAGATGTATGATTCACGATGGGAGAGGGTTGTGGGGAGAAGAGGCTGGATAGGAGCTAGTGAGCTCTGGATATGGCCCGAGTATTTTTCATGGTGAAGTGAAGACCATGGGACCTGAGGGCTTTGGGGAGTGAATGATTAGAATAGACTTGAATCCTATACATTGTAGGTAAGGCAAGTTATCTGGCAAAGGCTTTCTAAATGTCCACTGACATCTAAAAAGCTCCAGAAGTCATGATAAAAGCATGAAGTGTCCTTGAGAACATAGTCATAGAGTGCCTTTCCAGAATCCATTTTGAATCTGGGGTTTAAAATGTAAATATAATGATCCTATAATAGTTGACAAAATTATCAAAATTGGCTCATGCTTTCATTTTACATTAAGAGTCTTGTCTCCTTCCCAGCTTCATGTGACGGGAAGGAATACAAACTTGCTTTATATAAGAGTATATTTACAGAATGGAATCAAAATGTAAAAGATACAAAGTAGAGTGCAATTTAGTATAGTAGAAACAATATTTCATTGGAAGTTAAAGGACCTGGGTTCAAATCCTGAGTCTTCCATTCTGCCACTACCTGTGTGACATTGGTTAACCTCTCTGAGTCTCAGTTTCCTTGTCTGTAAAATGAGGGGATTGGACTGGATGACTGCTAAAGTTTCTTCTAGCTCTAAGTCCACATTCCTCTGATCCAAATGTACCCCAAAATGCGAGAGGTCATTTAGTATGTAGAGTACATACATTTAGTATGTAGAAGTAGAAAGAGCCTTGGCCTGGGGATGGGGAAATTTGGCTTCAAATCTTGCCTCTATTCCATAATTACCAGCGGTATGATTATGGGCAAATCCCTTGAACTCCCAAAGATTTAATTCCCTCCTCTGTACTGAGGAGGAAATGAGGATAATGCTTGCCCCATCAGCGCCCCCAGACTTGTTGCCAGGACTTAGTAAAACCATCAAACTCTAGAAATGGAACCTATCATTATTGCACTTTAAAATTTTCGATGCAAGAGTTTCACTGATTTAGGCAGTTTTCCTCCATGCTGACGCCCTTACCACATGTGTGCACATTGGAGAAAAGCAAGAAGCATTGTGTATTAGGGGGGAAAAATAATTTAGAGTCAGGGGATCTGGGTACAAATCCTACCTTTGGGCAAGTCCCTTACCTTCTTTGTGCCCCTGTTTCTCTATCTGTAAGAAGAAGGGATTGAATTAGATGATATTTTCTAGCTCTAAACATGAGAAGGAAAACCGTCTAAGACCACGTGCGTCCTGGGGTGGTGATTGGTAATAGCTACAAGAAGCGCAATTTCCGTATCGGCCACTAGAGGGTACTCTGAGCCCAAGTTACTATCTGGGAGATGCTCTAAAAACCTTCAGCATATTTAAGCAGTTTGATTTCCTCACCTGCGTCTCTGGACAAGGATTGGAGAGCACCCTTAGCCTTCCAGTGACTGTCTAGGTTCTATCTTGGCTCAGTGAATACAGGATTTAAAACGTAAAGAAAGCTATTGTATAATATTTCATAAAATTTTCAAAATTGGCTCATATTCCCATTTTCCATTAGGATTTTTATCTCCTCCCCAACTTCATGTGACCTGAAGAAATACATGTTTGTATTATAGAGTACATTTACTGAAAAGAACAAAAATTGAAAAGAGACATTATTAAAACTCCTGACCAAATCTCTCATTTTGGTAAAGATCTGACCTCCCTCTCCACCCCCACCCCCTTGCTTCCCTAGGATTACATTCCTGCCCTCCGCTTTCACAGCAAATGGGAAGAGAGAATCTTTTTACTAGCCAACTCCTGATCCTTCTTACCTGATTGCCAGGTCAGCGTCCTCTGTTCCCAGGAGCTCCCAGAAAACTTCTGCAAACTCAAGTGGCAATCTCTGCCCATGATGCATTTCCAACTGGCTCACTGTGTGCCCTCATCTTGGCTTCTACTGCCATGCCCTAATCAATAGGTCAAGCTACCATGTGCCCCACTGCAAGCTTGGGACCCAAAGTGGCCAGCGTTCTTGGTCACTGCTTGCCCACTTGGTCATTGGTAGTCTATTCCCTTCATTTTACTCCATGCAACATGAGATGACCTTTCAGAGACTCCAGAAGGTCATTTGAATTAGATTTTCTGTTAATAGTTCCTGGCAATTTGCTTCCAGACCCATGAAATTCTTTTTCTTGTATGGCATCGAACAGATGCAGGGAAATGTTTGAGATGGAGCTACCTTAGCAATTTCAAACCCAACTAGCATCGACAAATGCTTCAGTAGTCTCTTTCTGTACAAATGCACTCATTTCATGATTTACAACTGAAAAGGGACCTTGATGTGCATCTAGTTCAGTGGTTTTTAACCTTTTTTACATATCATGGACCTCGGTGGCAGTCTGGTGAAGGCTAATATTCCTGTGGTTTGTTGCCCGCATTCACAATGGAAGGGAATGCTAAATTTAAGATAGAGGTCGGTGAAAATAGATGTTACCCACTTCTCCCAAGTTCCTGGTCCAACTTCATGGAACCCAGGTTAAGAACTCCCGATCTAGGTCAGCCTTCTCGCCTTACAAATGAGGAAATTGAGGTCCAGATAATAATAATTAATAATAATAACTAGCATTCTATAAGGCTTTGAGGTTGGGAAAGACCTTTACAAATATTCTCATCTGTAAAATGAGGGGGTTGGGCATAATGGCCTCCAAGGTCTCTTCTAGCTCTAAATCTATGATCCTGTTTCCTTTTCTCTCTTTTTTTTAAACTAGTGAAAGTCCTGGAATGGTCTCACAGAAGAGCAGTAGTGTTAAAGACCCCCAACTAAGGAAACCAGTAGGATGAGTAGGGGCAGCCTACAGGGTCTAAACAATCCTGGGGGATGATTGCTATTGTTATCTCCATTTTGCAGATGAGGAAACTGAGTCACACTGAGGTTAAGTGACTTGCCCGTGGTCACACTGCTAGTAAATGTCTGAGGTGAGATTTGAACTCAGGACTTCTTGACCTGAGATCAAGTGCTCTTCCTACTGCTCCATCAGATAGAGGAACTGACTTGCCCAAGGCCAGATAAGTAGCAGAGCTGGAGTTTGGGCAAAAGTTTTCTGGCCCCAGAGCCAGTAACCTCTTCACTACACTATGTTGCTTCCTTTATTAAGGAGAAATCTAGGCCAGAGACAAAATGATACAATGGAAAGAATGCAGGATTTGAAGCAAGAAGATAAGGGTTTGAGTCTTGACTTCACCTCTTCTTAGGTGTGTGACCTTGGGGGATTATGCCGGGAGTCTGGTAGGAGCAGTAGTGGTCTGAGAGAGAGCGAACTTGGCCAGGCGGGCCAAGAAGAATGGGAGAGAAGGTCAAGGGGAAAGGGAGAGGGAACCACATCTCTCACTCTCTTTGTTCCTGTAGCAGACAATGGGCAGCATGAGTTGGGTGCTTCTGTAGGCTGAGCCTGGCTCTGAGGCAGTCACCAGAAGGGGAAATGTTGGAGTCACCTGTTTGCATGACTACTCTATGGCATGGGATCAACTGACTGCCCAGGGTTCAGCCCAAACCTTTTAGCCTCAGAAATTGTACAGCCCTCCTTCCACTTGTAGAATAGAGGAAGAGGGAAGGAAGGAGGGTAATGTATACCTGGGTGCTGAGATGGCAGAGGTTCAGAACTGAGTAAAGATGGCTATAGGAGAATAGGCTACAGGAATCAGTGCTCTTGGCTTTGGGTCTTGGGGAGCTGGACTAACAAAACTTGGGAGCATTTTCCCAAAAAAGAAGACTTGGCCTTCGCTAGGGGTGAAACCAGGGAGCTCTCTGACGTGTATACTTTGGTCTGGGACCCAGGTATGCTCCTGTGGGTATCCTCTTCCTCATTGCTGGGAAGATCCTGGAGATGGAGGACACAGCTGTGGTTGGTGGACAGCTGGGCATGTACACACTGACTGTCATCGTGGGCCTGCTCATCCATGCTGGGGGTGTCCTCCCACTTCTCTACTTCCTCATCACACACAAGAATCCCTTCCCCTTCATCGCTGGTATGCTGCAGGCCCTCATCACAGCCATGGGCACTTCCTCCAGGTACTGACTCCCCAGCCATGGGCCCCTCCTCCACTTTCAGCTCAGCTTCAGCCCCACCCCTTCCATCTGCCCCTTCTAGTTCTCTAGAGGCCCCTCTTCAAGCCTCCCCAGGCATGATCTGATCCTCCATCCCCAACCAAAGCTGGAATGTTGTACCAAATATAGAGTGCTATGTTTAGGAAAGACAAAGACAGACTGGAATTGGCCTGGAGCAGGGTGACCAAGTTGGCAAGAGGACTGGAGACCATAAAAATAGTAACTGTCTATACTGAAAAATATCCTCACTACACAAGTATGTGTATGTATGTATCTGTGTGTGTTTGTGAGTGTGTGTGTGTGTATGTGTATGTGTATGTGTAGTACTTTAAGGATTATAAATCACTTTCTTGAAAATGTCTGTATAAGTTGGGTAGCAAGAGTGCTATTATGTTCATTTTTACAGATGAGGAAACTGAGGGTCAGAGAAATTCATTGACTTGCTCAAGGTCACACTCAGCTAAATATCAGAGCAGGGATTTGAACCCACGTTTCCTGATTCCTAGTCCAACACTCATTCTGCTATCTGCCCCTGCATCTCTTTGCTGCCTGACTCCCTTCTTCTTCCCTTGTTTCTTATCTGGTTATTCAGAAACCACCACCTACTTCCCTCCCAGTACTCTCTTACACACACCCCAGAGTACAAGAGCTATTTTAAAACATTTTATTGACAAGGAAAATCTTCACTTAAGTCCTCCTGTGATGCCTCACTATGGTGTGGTGGTGACCACATCCTTACCCCTCTGGCAGGTCTATATATTAGGGAATTAAACTAGCAAAGGGTGGAGGAGTCCACTGCCAGAAGGTTGGCCTCTGGAGGATGAATTATGGTAATGTATGTTTGGCCATAGCTACTCATGAGTTTTGTGTAGCAGAGATAAGAAGAAATATATAAAAATAGGTGAAGTAATACAAGGTTCATATGACCTCAGAACCCCAAGTTCACCAAAAGAGTCCTGCGTCTCTTTCCAGGGTCAAAGGACACGACTCCAGGGCCCCCACTCTTGGGGAACTTGTCTGATAGCTTAGGATCAGTGAACTCCTGGGCTTTGTACCATGTGGGTCATAGCCATAGGACTATTGGAAGGAGAATTTTAGACTCAAATCTTGTCTTTGCTGCTGATCTGCTGTGTGAATTTGGGCAAGTCTCTTCCTCTGACAAGGCCTCAGTTTTCTTGCTTGCAAAATGAGTATGGACCCAAAGATGTTTAGGGTTCTTTCCACTGCTGATACTTTGAGATCTTAGGATTATGTGACCCACTAGGGAGTCAGTCATATATGGGATTGGGGTGCCTAGATTCCCATTGGGTTACAGTTGTCTTTGATTCTTTCTCACCACCCTCCTTCCATTTCTCAATCCCACTCAGAGCTCTCAAATTTGCCCCTCCTTAAGTCTATCATCTCCAAACAACCTTAACCCCCACCTTGCTCAGGACCCTCCCCAAAAGAAGAGCTAAAAGGATTTTGCAAAAGTGATGAGATAATTTGTGCTGTTCTGTCCAGGTAATGCATCATCCTTTAGATTGGGGCTTTTCAGAGCCAAAGGCATGAGAGATGTGGGGATGTGGGGCCTCAGAAAGTAAGGAGGTGGGTGTGGAAGGCCTCTCTGGCACCCCTTCATTCACAGCACACTGGTTTCTTCCTGCTTCATCTGCATGAAGGGCTAGTATAGCCTCTCTGTTGGCCCCCAAAATATTTTCATCATTTACTCACTGAGCCCTATAAGGCCTTATGAGATTCCCTATAAGATTAAAAATGTGCTTTGTCAAAGCCAGAGGGCCTGGACTTTTAGTCTCTTCTTGACCCATGGCCCTCCAAGGCATTCTGTGGCCCCTCCTGGGAGGTGCCCATGAAATGCTCCTGGAGTCCTATCTCCCCAGCTCAGCAACTCTGCCCATCACCTTCCGATGCTTGGAGGAGAACCTTGGCGTGGATAGACGCATCACCAGGTTTGTGCTGCCTGTGGGGGCAACCATCAACATGGATGGCACTGCCCTCTATGAAGCCTTGGCAGCCATCTTCATAGCCCAGGTCAACAATTATGAACTCAACCTGGGACAGATCACCACCATCAGGTGAGTTCTACCATTGGTGCTGTGCTTGATATGAGAGTGGTGGGGGTGAGGGCATGGAATGGGAAATAGATGGAGCTGTGAGAAGGGAGAAAGTCTTTACTGACTGATAGTGGTAGAGGATGGGTGAATTGAGGTTGGGCTGAGTATGGGAAAGTGGAGAGAGCATTGAATGAGTTATTGACAGGATATTGAGGGGATGGGATTGAGAGGGAAGGTTAAGAGGATTCACTCTTCAGAGGAGAAAGGGATGAGGTGGAGGTAAAAGAATTCATTGTTTCAGAGTGATGGTGAAAAGAAGAAGTGAGTGACAGGGAGCCTGGAGAGGAGAGGTGTTGTGAAAATGGGTAGCAACCACACACCACTTCAGAGTGGACCTCATAAAGTCTTCCCCTGCATCTTGCTAGAGTTGTGACTGTCCAGGATCTTTGCAACTTCAGGGGTCAATATGATTAATTCTTAGATTCTGCATGACTGCTTTTTACTCCTGTGAGACTGATTCCTAAACCTGATGCCGTAAGATTAATTTGCACTGAGAAATAAAGAAACCTGGTCAGGCTGATCAGACCACTCATATTGCCTGCTCAGGGAATTGCCTTCACAGTGCAAAATCGCAGGATCTCAGGCCTGGAAGAGACATTAGAAGGAATACACATAGGACAACCTTGGGCCCAATGCTGGATCCTCCTCTCCAACCACCTTGACAAGTTGTCATCCAGCATTTGCTTAAATACCTCCAGCACACTTCCTCAGGAGACAGTCCGTTTCCAGTTGTCAGACAGCTCTAATCCTTAGAAAGCTCTTTCTTATCCTGACCCTAATTTGGCCTCCCTGGAACTTAAATCTGTTGCTCATACTTTTTTCTATCAGAGGCAAAACTGAGCCATTCCAATATCTTTCACATGATAATTATCTTTCTGCCATGATAGTAATCTTGCTTGGGTACAGGTTAGATTAGATGCTCTCTAAAACCCTACCCAGCTCTGAGATTCTGTGAAATCATAAGCAGTTCTCACCAAGGCAAAAGGAGTCTCAAATATACACAGTGGGTGATCAGTGAATGTTTTTTGGCTTATGGTGTAATTTGTTGTTCAGGGACATGTGGTTCCCAGAAAACTGACCTCTCTCCACCTCCTCTCCTTTTCCTCCCTGCTTCCTCTCTTCCTACATTCCCTTGGACCTGTCCCCATTTGGCAGCATCACAGCGACAGCTGCTAGCATAGGGGCTGCGGGCATCCCCCAGGCTGGCCTCGTCACCATGGTCATTGTGCTTACATCAGTTGGGCTCCCAACTGAGGACATCACACTCATCATAGCTGTGGATTGGTTCTTGTAAGTACGAACCAGGGTGGCACCCGCTGCCCTCGTGACCGTTGTTTTTCACTCTCAAGGCATCTCCTGCTCCCATTTCACCAAGGACATGGAATGTCAAGGTTGGAAGAGACCTTAAAATTTAGAACATAGAATGTAAGAACTTGACATTAAAGTCATTAGGGAAGGAAATTGAGACCCAAAAAGGGGTAACAACTTGCTCAAGATTACAGAGTGATTTAGGACATCTGGCTTCTATTCTAAGCTTGGCAACCATGTAATTGATTTTTTTTTTCATGTTCCTAGCTTATAATACTCCCTATAAATGTTCCTAGAGGAAGAGCAACCTAGACTTGTCACCCTGCCTCCTCCCAACAATTGCTATCTCTTCAGACCCCATATCCTTTCCTAGTCTATGGGTTTTCCCATCAATTTTTTCCTCTCTTCCCCCAGGGACCGCCTCCGAACTACCACTAATGTTCTGGGGGACTCAGTAGGTGCTGCCATCATTGAGCATCTGTCTCGGAAGGAACTGGAGCTGCAGGATGCTGAGTTAAGCCTCCCAAGCCTTGGAAAGTCCTATCAGCTCATCGCCCAGGAGAAGGGGGCCAATAGAGCTCGGGGTGGCAATGAAAGCAACATGTGAATGACTGATGGGTCCCCCAGGCTAGAGTCAGAGTCAAACTACCCATAGCTGGAGGAGCTAGAGAACCATGTCAGAGGGGTTCCTGGCCCATCTGGCTTTGAGTCCAAAGGCACCAGCTGCTTGGCCCTACATGGATCCTTTAGAAGAAAAAAATGAAAGTTTATACGAGGCTTCAGTTCCTGCTCAGTGTGTTGGGGGTTAACCTTCATAGCTTGGGCACATGGGGTGATATGGATCTGGACAAGAAACAGAGCCCGTCTTAGGATCTCTTGGGAGGAGGGAGGGAGGGAGCTGCCCCTATCCAAATGTTTTGGAGGGGAGAGGGGAAGGGAAAAGTCTCTGTCTCTATGATGCTGGAGGGGGGAGGGGAGGAGAAACCCTTGTGTCAGTGTCCCCGAGGAGGAAAGAGAAAGTGTTAGAGCATCTCCTGGGAGGCAACGAGCAGGAGGGGGAGGGAGACTAGGTGGCAGCAGTCCCTGGTCCAGGGTCCCTTGAGAAGGGAAGGGAAGTAAGGGGAGAGAGTGGCATGAGGAATGGTCCTTGTCTCTCTGCTTGAGGACCCAGGTCTTCTGCTGGTACAGATTCCCCTCCTCCTTGTCTTGGTCCTAAGTAAATCTCCCCTGTCCACCTCCCCATGTGTTATTTTCTTCACTCCCATGATCTATAGCTTTCAAATGTGAGGTGGAGGTCTCCAACAAGGCACACTCACTTGGTCATAGGCTGAATCCTGTGTCCCTTCCTTGTGCTTCCTGCCACAGACCTCAAAGACACCTCTGTGAGCTTTTACAGCCTCTCAGAATTGAAGCCATCCAGCCCAAACTGTTCTTGAATAAGAATTGTCTCTTCTGTCCCCTAATTTCCTAGCTCCTTCCCCTGCCTCTTGGCCCTCCAAATTTTCTCACAATTTGCAATAAGGTAAAGGGGCTTTCAGGAGAAGAGTCTTGGAGTTACAGTTTTGGGAGAAATAGAATGCTTGATAGGATCACAGATTTAGAGGTGGAAGGGTCCTGGTCCAAACCCTACATATAAGGTATGAGTATTGATCCTCTCTCTAGAAACACCTTCCTTTCATGGACCCTATAAGTGGACAGGCCAGTGGGCAAGGCTAGGATAGCTACTCAGAGCCAACACATGGTAGTTTGAGCTTGAGGTGTTCTGGCTTTCATTCCTCTTGCACATGTGAAAATACTGAATCCCAGCCTTTTAGTGCCCAGGCTCCATCATGTCTTGTTTGGTCACACCAATGGTTTTCAAATTGTGAGACCCTTTCAGGGGGTCTATGAGGTAAAAACTATTTTCATAATAATGCCAAGGCATTTTAATGTCTGATTTGATGAAAATTTATGGTTTAACCCACCATAACTAAAGCTCTTTAGGGTTCTCAATAATTTTGAAGTCTGCAAAAGGTTCCTGAGGCCAAAAATTTTAAGAACCACTGGTTTGGGCTTTAACTTAACACATGGTATCTTATAACTTTTAAAAAAATCTCATCCCACTAAGATTCTTATCTCCTTCCCAACTTTATGTGACCCAAAGGATTACATGCTCAGAGTATAGGGTAGAGCCCATTTACTGATACTCATTCGGTAACAGAAAGAAAAACCACAACATTAAAACTCTTCCACTGCTGACAAATGGCTGTATCAATAAGGCCTGAAGTCTATATATTTGCCCCCAGTCCCGTTCTTCAGCCAGGTGTTGTAGGATCACCTGGATCACCTTCATAGAAGTACTTTCCAGCACCCCATTTTTTAAAGTCCATGGAAAGTGGGGTGGGGAGGGGGAAGGAATTGTTTCACCAACCTCCACTCCTGCTTCCAAAAGCAGGCAGCCAGAGGATCCAGGGTCAAGAGCCATCTTGGTATTCTCCCTGGGAGGTTATCACTTTTTTCCATCCTACCCTTCCAACTCCCCCTTCAGCATGCTGCCACATGCATTTTCTTGTTGGGTCTCTCCTGGTGTGTTGACCAATCAAACAGCCATGGCAGTTCAGAAACTGCTAACTCTGATTCACAAAAACCTAGGAGGACTGCATGACTTCCCCTCTCCCTCTGAAGCAAGTTCATTCTCCATGATGCATTTCTTTCAATTGTGTTGCCCACCATTTCCAAAGAGCAGTCATAGGATCATACATATAGAGCTGGAAAGGATCTCAAAGGCCATCTAGTCCATAGGCAAGGACTATCTCATCTCATAGGCAAGGAAACCAAGACCCACAGAAGTCAAGTGACTTGCCAAAGAGCATACAGGTTGTCCATGATTATCAGAGTTGGGATTTGAACTCAGGTCTTCTGACTCCAGAGGCAGGGATCTTTCCACTGTACCACATTGTCCCTTTGTTGTAAATGTCCCTTTGCTTCTGCAACTGCTCTAATGGCAAAACCCAATCAATTTGACTTGGACCCAGGGCATTTCTGAATCTTGCTGGCACCTAGAGATGGCAAAATAATTGCGGGGGAGGAAACCCAAATGGTTTTAAAAATCCAGGTTACATACAGATGAGGAAACTTTGGCCCAGAGATGTTATGGTCACATAGGTAGTAAAGATCTGAAACTGGGTTGTCTGACTGCACACCCTATATTCTCTATCTCCTGCACCTATTTGCTGACTCCTGGAACATTTAATAATGACAATAGCAGCAACAATAGCTAGCATTTACATAGTTCTTTAAAGTTTTTGAAGTTATCTCATTGATCTTCACAACAACCCTGAGAGGGAGGGAGGTGCTATTATGATTCCCGTTTTATAGCTGAGGAAACTGAGACAGATAGAGGTTAAATGACTTGCCCAGGGTCACAGAGCTAATGAGTGACTGAGGTCAAATTTGAACTGAGGTCTTCCTGATTCTAAGTCTAGTACTTTATCCACTGAATTCAAGCTCTAACCCAGAAGCCAGGGGACTCAACTCATTTCAACAAACACTTACTGTGTACCTGCCATGGACAGAGCCCTGTACTTGGCACCAAGGAAATACATAAATTTAAAAAATAAAAAAGACATAGTCAATATAGGAAGGGACGGAGGGGTGGGGTGTACAGCACACACAACAGAGAAGTTATGCTAATATACAAAAGACAAAATAAATCTATGGGACTAATACAGTTTACATAGATTCTAGGATACAGTATCTCATTCTATTTTTTTTTAGACAAGATAACAAAATGTGGACTAGATGATACACAATTAGATGGATTAAGAACTATAAGAACTATATATAGAATCCTAAGAACTATAAAAGAACTATAAAACTATATTAAAAACTTTTTGAGTAGACTTTAATGGTTCAATGGTCAGCTGGAGGTCCCTGGTGGGCTGTCCCAGGGATCTATGATGGGCCTGGACCATTTAACATTTTTATCAATGATTTGGATAAAGGTCGTCAAATTTGCAGATGATATAAAATTGGGAAGAATGGGGGAAAATTGTATGATAGAGTCAGGATGAAAAAAGATTTTTACAACTGAAAGTATGATGAAATTCAATAGGCATAAATATAAAGTTGTATAAGATGGGGAGGGCTTGGTCAGATAGCACTTGTTATGAAAGACCTGCGGGGTTTGGTGGACTGCAAACTCAAGACAAATTCAGCAGTATGATATGGCAACTGCCAAGGCTAATAAAATCTTAGGCTACATTAAGAGAGACATAAATTCCAAGAATAAGGAGGTGGCCATCTCTCTGTACTCTGCCCTTGTCAGACCTCATCAGGAGTATTGTGTTCCATTCTGGACACCACAGTTCCAGAAAAGAAAAAAAAAATTGACGAGTTGGATAGAGGAGGACAAGCAGGGTGGGGAAAGGTCTTGAATTCATGTCACCTGAAGGAGCTGGGGCTGTTTTGCCCAGAGAAGATGGGGAGCATCATTTCTTCACTTTGGCCCCAAAGGGAAGAACCAGAGACCATCAGGGGGAAATGGGCAGAGGTGACAAAGAGGAAAATTTGGTCTGTATGTTAGGAAAAAAATTATATGTAATTAGAACTGTCCGACAGTTGAATAGAATGCTTCAGGATGTTTGCCCTATATTTGAAATCTTTAGGCAGACAAGGAATAACTATTTGTCAGCTATGTTATAGTAGGGGTAATTCCAGGTCTTTAAGGTCCCTTCCAAAGCTGAAATCCTATGATTCTCTGATCCTGGGTGGACAGTATTATAAATAGAGCAGAAAGGGAAAGGCAATGAATTCAGGCACAAAAGCCTGGGCAATGCCCACAATGAGGAGACAGGAGCAGAAATAGGAGGAGCCAGAAAAGGAAACAGAGAAGAATCAGCCAGAGACTTACGACAACCAAGTCAGTAGCACTACAAAAGGAGAAAGGCATGACTAACACTGAAGGCTGATTAAGGAGGATGAGAGCTGAGAAAGATCATTGGATTTGATGACCTTGGAGAGAGTAATTTCAGTAGAATGGTAATGATGAAAGGGAGATTGTAAAGGCATGGGGAGTTAATGAACAGGTGCTGAGGAACTGGACATTCCTTTTTCAAGAAATTTGACAGTAGTTAGATTGAGGGGTAGCTAGGTCAGGAGGAGATTTCTGTTGAGTAGCAGAGATTTGAACATATTTATACATAGAGGTCAAGCAGCCAATAGAGTTGTGGAGACTAAAGAAGAAAAAGAGAGGAGGGGTAGGGAGGGTTAATAGAAAAATGACCCAGAGGAGAAGTAAGAAATTAGATCAAAGGCACAGATGGAAGGGCTAGTCTTGGGAAGCAAAAGGGATGTTTCTTCCTCTGAGATAGAATGGAAGGAAAGAAAGAGTAGGGGACTAGAAGTTTTGAGATGTGGAGGAGAATTAAGGGTGGTCACTTCAGGTGGTCTCAATTTTCTCAGTGAAGAAATAGGCCAGGTAATAGAATTGTCACGAATGAAATTCAACAAAAGCAGACTGAGACATTTTTTTTTCCCCAAGCAATATAATGATTTCTTAGCAGGAAGTGAACTTGGTAATAAAGTAGGCCAATGAATGCCTCAGTTAAGCCAAAGACTCTGAATTGGAGATGCAACTTTTTTTTTCTATAAGCATAGAACAAACAACAGAACAGGGTAGGTGAGGAAATAATACAATTGGATATAGGGCTGGCAGCCTCATGGAGGGGAAGAATTTATGATTAAGGAAAATGGGCCTACACACATGTGGGACTTTGGCTACTTCTCTCTGTCTTAGAGGAATGCTTTATTGATTTATGGGACCCAGCTGCATCCTGAGGCCATTAGTAGTGGACCAGACTCACTGGCTCCTGGGAAAGAGATAAGACCACCTTTAATTGGACAAGAATGGGCTAAGATGGGACCAGGTCAGCCTGTCTACTCTCAAGGATAGCAAACAGATGTCATGGAGTTTCCCGGAAGCTGACGTCATGAGGGAGAACAAGTTTTCTTGGCACAGAATGATTTGCAGGTGGTGCTAAGATAACAATTACTTTAAAGTTTTTTATGAGAGTATTGAACCTCTTAAACTTAGCTCAGAATTTTTCTCTAATTAAAAGTGATTGATAGGAAAACTGAACTGTAGCATTTAACTTGAGTGGAAGACAATTTTTGAACTCATAAGCTTTGTCACTCAGAGACAGAGGCATAGACTGTTATATAAAATACAGAATAAGGTTACAGAAAATATTTAATTTTC